TGCTTTTACAAGGGTAAAGTCTTCAAAAATTTCAAAAAATCATTTTTATGTTTTCTGTATTCATTTCTATACGATGCAACAAAGAGAAGAATTTAGGAAAAATTTTGGATTTTTTTGATATTTTTTCACTCCTCGTTTTTGAAACTCGAGAGGCACCAGAATGCCTCCTTGTGAGAGACAACGCCAAAATACGTTTTGAAAAAATTTTAGAAGAAGAAAAGCGCAAGTAGGTGCAGAGAAAAACATCAGAAAAAAACTGAAGAATTTGATAGGTTTAGGGGGGTATTTATACATGAGGGGTAGAGCAAATAGATCAAAAATTCAGCTATGTTGCAATTTTGTGAGCATTTTAATAACAAAGGTTTTAGTGTTTTTGAACGATTGTAGATGCAAATACTCATATGATATGCATTTATTTTTACTCAAACATTTGATCATGGCGTTAGAAATGATGTTGGGAGTGTATTGTAAAGCTAAAAGTTGATCTATAAGTAATTCTAGCCTTTCAACGAAGTTTTCAGATTTTGTACAAGTCCTATAAATTCTCGAAATTTCACTTTAAATGATTGAAATTTTGACATTCAGACTGATATGTGATCTTGAATGAGTATGTTAACTTTAAAATTGAAACTGTCCGTTTTGTTATTAGGTTGGCACATAAGTTTTGCAACTTGTTTTGTAACTTTTTTCTTTTTGAATGTGACGCATTCATTTTTGAGCATAATGTAGATTTGATGGTAGGCTACAAACTGCGGAACCAGTTTGATTTTTGGTTTCGAGCTGGAGAAAATTTGCTTATTTTTGGAAGCTGGTCAAAACCGAAATTTCGAGGGTCGGAAAACTAAAAATAAAGCCGTATTCGGTCTGAATCAAACATATCGAGCCGAAACTATGCCCAGGCTAATGATAGAGGAAACTTTAACCATCTACACGGTTTCGGCTTGATCTGTTTGATTCAGACTGAGAACGGCTTCATTTATGGTTTTCCGACCCATGAAATTTCGGATTCGACCAGTTTCCGAAAAATGAGTAAATTTTCTCCATTTCGCTACCGAAAACCAAACTGTTTGCGCAGGTTTGTAGCCTAGTATCTAATCTACATTATGCCCAAAATTGAGTGTTTCGCAGTCAAAAAGAGAAAAGTTACAAAATAAGTTGCAAAACTTATGTGCCAACCTATTATATTGAGTGGTGATAATTCTGTCTTCAACAATACATATTTTTAAGTCCAGAAAGTCACATTCGAAATTGCTACTGTTGGTGCTTTTTAGTTCAAGAATATTTTTATAAGTATTTTGCAATATTTGTGATTGCTCCATGTTGTGTATGACCAGTAGATCATCCATGTACCTAAAAGGTATGAAAAGTCTATGAGATTTTTTCTGGTTAGAAGCACAAGAATATTCCATGTATGACAAAGTCAAATCTGCTAATATTGGGCTAACACTGCTACCTTGTGGGACACCCATTTTTTGTTTGAAAATGTGCTGCCCAACTTTACAGTAGCTGTTTTCTAAGAGGAATTGAGTAAGATACATTATATCTTCTATTTTATAATTTCTGAAATTTGTTCCATTCAGAAGTGTACTAGAGTAATGTAAACTTTTGTTTTTGCTAACAATGTACTTACTATTACTATTCTTGAAACATATTCTGAGTATAGCGTTTATGTTTTTCAAGATAACATCATGTGGAATATTAGTAAACATGTTTGTGAAGTCTGCAGAATAGAGTTGTAGATTAGTGTCTACTATGTTACTAAGAATATGAGATATTAATGTCATTGATGGACCAGTACGTTGGTAAGCAATTTTTTTTGTTGGTGTATACTATATTTATATAGTTTTTGAAGTGTGTTTTTATGAAACATAAAATGCGCATAAGTTCTTCTGATAAAGGCTTAATACTGCTGTTACTTGCACCAGTTATAAATCTGAATTTTTTTTGGATTTTTATGAAGTTTAGGGATGCAATATATGTTAGGAATAATTCCGTCCATTTGGTTTTAGGTGAAGGTCAATGGCCAGGCTGTTATGTTTTCTAATGATATCTTGAACATTAATTTTACCCAAAAAATCGTATACTAGTGTGTCTTGTACGTCATTTTGAAGATTCATTTCTTTAGTTAAGATGGAAAGATATAGCTTTTTACAAATAATACCATAATTAGAACTGGCTTTATCTAGTGGTCAAAAAATAAAGAATTTTTGTAGTTGCCTAATATTAAGAAGAGGAGGAGCTAAATTTTTATTTTTAGGGTATAACAATCTATGTTTGATTCTAACAAAAGACTGGGTTAGTGTTTCTAATATTTTGTTGGAAGTAGTATCAGATAAGGAATGTCTAGTTTTATGTTTGTTTGTGATTGTCTTGAGCAAATTAATCCATAAATTGTAAATCTGTTTTGTACTAAGGTTAGGGGAGTAACGGAATTTTGTTCCTTTGCTTAGTATCTCATAAATAGGTTCTCTTTCAAAAATATTAATATTTCCTGTTACTAGATGGTTGAAATTGGGATTTACAAATTGTTTATATGAATTGAAGTCACATGGCATGTTGCTAATATCGAGGTTTCGGAGACTATTGAGAAATTTGTTGTAATCAAATATATTAGGTCGTTCCGAAAATAATGTCGCTTTTTTCAAAGGTACGCCACATCTCGTGGAAAGAAGATTTATAGGGGATCTTGGTGGCATTCGATGCAGCATTTCATCCTCTTTCTAGAGGTCATAATGACATTGCACAATAATCAACGAGCTTCTAAAAAATTACCAAAATCTGCAACCTATGCTTTCTGAGAAGATCAAGTTTCCCAATTTTTCTACATTTTTGTAACAACCCTCGGAAGGAGTTTAAGTAATGCGTGGATAGAGGAAACCCTACAAGAGACAGCATCATTTTCCCTACTTTCCATGGCTCTTCATAATTTTTGTATAGATTTATTAGTGGAACCACCGAATTTTAGCAGGCTCTTCGCAGACACAAATGCATCAAACACCAATGAATCTTCGGATTTTGAAACTTACAAAGATGAATTATGGTTTTACATCAATTTCACGAAGCAAATGACCGTTTACCGCTTCAGATTAGCAACTTTCGGAAAATTCGGGTACAGCCTGGAGCGCCCTGGAGAACCTGAATTATGATGATTTTATTATGGAAAACTTTATGAATCGGAAACCAAAAACAACTGGTAGAAAGAGGAGAAAAAAGTGCGTCGAATGACACCCAAGTTGCTCGCCGGTTATTGTTTTGTGAGGTTTTGGCTGATCAAATATGGAATTTGATAGCATTAAAAAATTGGTTTCAGAAATTCTAAGAGGCGGGCTAAGGAAAAGAAAAAAATTGTTTCGTGTCCCATAGTGTTTGCTCTATCTGCACATTACTTGCACTTCTTCGGGGATTCAGTACAAAAATTTAGAAAAATAATCGAACTTGACTCTGGCAAAAAGCATGAGTCGTAGATTTTGGTAATTTTTCGAGAGCTCATTGAATATTATGCAATGTGTTTATGATCAGTAGAAAGAGGGTGAAATGCTGCATCGAATGCTACCAAGACCTCTTACAAATCTTTGTTCCACGAGATGTGGCGTACCTTTGAAGAAAGCGACATTACTTTCGGAACAACCTAATATTTGTGGAAACGTATTTATTATATTGATAAATGACTCTAATACGTTGACAAGGTTTTTGGCTATGTTCTTTAATTAAATGTATTATATCTTTATTGTTGATAAGCTTATTGATGCTAATCTCATCGAGAACTGTACTATAATAGGGAAACCTGATATTAATGAAAATAGGTTTTTGGTTATTAGAATTTGCTCTGTTAAAGTGATAATGACACAATATGCAGCATAGTGCTTGTTGTAATGAGTAGGAATGTTCAGAGTTGCGGTATTGAGTGTAACGATGGTAATAAGAGAACTAATGTAATACTTATTTTTATTTTTCAGTACTTTGTAAAGGTCATAATATGAAGGATTATTAGCAAGCAATTGTTGTATTTCTTCTACTATAGAATGAGCTCCCTTCTTTACTTTGTTTTCCTTTTTTTTTAAACCTGATACAAATTTGGGGTTTTCAAAAAGCTCCTCGAAATTCCTAAAAAATTTAGAAAAAAGTGTAAAAGAAGTTATCCGACAACCTAATATTAAGGCCTGTGCATACAAGCGGTTGTAGGTCTATCTGTAGTCATTGAACGTGTCCATTAAGTTCTTACTTGATCACATCCATGCTGAAGTAAAATGCGTAAGTGCTTTTAAAAACTGTTATCATATTCTATCAAATGCTTCTTTATTCTCCTGAATTAGTGCGTTTGAAAAAAAAGTCAAAGCCTTCAAATTATAAGTTAAAGAGGTGAAAACTCCATATTTGACAGCAACCTTACGTCGCCTTCTAAATAGGCGAGAATGTTGCAGATCAGCCTCAAAAATTTGCGACATGTATGAGAATTGTGTAGATCTCGTGCACCGTTCAGATTTGCTAATTTAAAGTCACATATTAGCTTGGAAATCGAGAACTAGAGCTAGAAGTAGAAGCTTATGCATTAGGTAAATACTGTTCAAAGCTCTCGAAAAATCCTGTGTGTGGTTTCAAACCGCTCTTAAGCAACGCATAACGGTCGTTTGAAATGCGATTTGTTCTCGCTATATAATTTTTGCAGCATTTTTGTTCCACCTGATTAGAATATTAGAACGCTTAACGGTATTTCGGCTTTTGATGATTTTCGTTCCAAATGAAAGCGCTACAAACAAATATAAGTGTGCCTGTGTCAAGCAACTTCATTCTTTTCTCCCCATGACGGCTTTGCTACCGCTTGTTTCAATCTATCATGATAATATATTTACAAAGCACAAATTTTTCTCGAATGCTCGCTGACTTCACCATACCTCTCCTGTTTCTTCCATCCTCCTCCGATGTTCTTTGTAACTGGATTTTGTTTTCCGCTTATATCGTCTTCAATCTCTGCTTTTATTGGCCTAAAACAACAAGCATTTTTTTAGAATCCGACATGAGGCTCATCAACGTATTCTTCTTTGCCCTTTTGGTGTGCCTGTGTTACCCATGGAGATATAGTTGTAATTCCAGGGAATGCTGTCCAGGCCTCGTCACAGAGGTATATCGATGAGCAGCTTGGTGAAGAAATTCTTTAGTAATATTTTATGTCTGACTTTTGATAATGATGTTTTAGATCTGCTTCGAGAAATGCAGAAAGAATTTACCAACCTTCTTTCAATGTTACGAGAGATGCTTTTCCACTGTACGGGGTAGATTGGATAAGATCAAGGACTCACTTTAACAAGTAACTATAAATCCTACAAGTAGACCTGTAACCGCTTGTATGCACATGCCTTAATATAAAGAGTGATCAGAAAATGGGTACACAGTGCAGGGCTCGGCATTGGTGGCTTACGGAGCGAGCTGGATATCGTTTTGAGTGTGAAGCTTAGAGATTATCGTCTTTACGTGGTCCAGTACGGAGCCTAGAAAAGAGTATGGTGTAAATGAATCGTCAATCGCCGTGCAGGAACATTCAGGAGTGTTGAGAATTTTTTGAAGAGCCTTATGAGCAAGGGAATTGAAAATAAATTTTGTAGAAAATTAAGCGAGTAAAGAAACTTCGAGGCACCGGCCAACTTCACGCCCATTGACGCGACAAATTTGTGCAGTCAGGGCCTGGCACCAGCTGGCACGGGGCAAGCTGGTGTCAAGAAGAAAAAAAAAGTCAAGGGGGACTTCGTAAAAATTGGCAAATTTCAAAGGGGACTTCGTTTTCAAAATTCCCTGGTGCCAGCTCGTGCCGAGCCCTGTGTGCAGTCCTTCCCCTTGTAAACAAAACTTATCTCATCGTGATGTGACTAGCAGCTTTCTTTTCCGGAGGTTTGAAATGAGTGTTTTATTCGGCCTAACGTTCGGACACTAATGCCTTCCTCAAAGGAGTTAGTCACGGCTTTTCTTAGCCTTCTGGCAAAGTAAGTTACTATTGATACTTCACAATGCGCAGGTTTTACAAACAGAGAACGCACGAGATACATATCGCATCGCTTTTGTCACGCAATTTACGCATACATACTTACAAAGGCCACCCTCGACAACCACCAAACCCTGTCATTTCATCTCCTCATCTTCTGAGGACGTCGCAATGTTCATCACAAAGTGCCTTCTCTGCATAACCAACAATTTCCCGCACTAGCTCTTTCCTTGCGAACGCGGAAATGCAAATTTGTGCTGCAAAAAAGGCTTAGCGAAAATGAAGTAATATAACACCAAAATTGATGTCTAGATGCGCAGTTATTCGGAATTAAACATCGAAAAGCATGTTAAAGTATGTGAACCGAGAGCATGGCAAACGTTTTTCGGAGTTAGGTGGCGTGGAGGCCACCTGGAGAACCACCAAAGGTGGGTCAAAGAAAACTCCATGAATTTCCTTTTTTATATGATTTTTTTACAGTTTCTACATGGTTTCAGTCTATACTCAAAACCCTATTAACTACTCTTCAGCATCTCCAAGCTATCCCTTGCAAAAATCTCTGCGCAGTTTCCTGTTCTGTGCTGCTTCTTCTATCTTTCGTCGATATCGTTTCATATTCTCTTGTACATGGCTCAATATGTGAATTGTTTGATCGTTTTTAATCTTGGCATGATGAGCACTTGTTGATGTAAATTTCAGCTAAAACCAAGATTTGAAATTGATCATTATTTGCTGTTCACGTTTCGTCAATGCCTTCTTTGGGACCTGAAAGTCGGAATGACTTCGCCGTCGGAATGATTGAAAGTCGGAATGACTTGAACTTAGCTGGCTTACGGAAGGGGTAGAGGGCACTAATTAGGTAATTGCCCGATCTCGCTGCAAAGGAATCGAAAAAAAAATAAACAGGAGCAGTGGGGAGGTCACCCCCCACCCTCCAAGTTTATTGGTTTGAATAAAGTCTCCTCCCCCCCCCCTCCCAAATTAGGCACTAGCGTGGTTACAGGGTAGCCGAAAAGTAGGCCCATAGTAAGCTCTCCTCCAGTGTAACACACCGGCTGGGGCGGCCTAAACAGGGAACGATACTTGGTGACCCAGTCATTCATAACGGTTTGTAAATCAGAAAATGCTCCTTTTAATGCTGGTTCGAATACTGTTTTCCATATCTGCGAAGCGAGAATTTGGATGGAGTTATATTTATTTTTTCAAAAATGAATTGCGCTACTGCGGAAAGTGAAAATCATTAACAAAAAATTTTGCTTTCTTCTTCAAACGCTAAATATGATCTACGTAAGTATAAATACAACGTTATACCTTTCAAAATTCTCCTTAACAGCTTCAAACAAACGGTAAAATAAATCAAATGATTCTAACTACCTAAAAGTACGCAAATTTTCTACGGAAAAAGTCCATAACTGCCTTCATATGATCGTTTCGCAGATTTCGAATACAGATTTAGAGTCAGCGTTTCGAGGTGTCTTATGGTAAACATCGCATTCCAAATGGCCGGAGTCACCAAGTATCCTTTCCTTGTAAGAGACACCAACTTTTTTTATAGCTTTGGCCCCAATGTTGAAAATTCCTGATATACTCGTCACTGATTCTTACGCACTTTCGAACCTCAAAACAGTGTTTCTGCTTTCCTCAAAGTTAAGTGATGTGATGTGATAAGCGCATGGGTACGATTTTATGCATGATAGAAACTTTTACTAGAAGATTTCCATAATCTAGAGCATTTTGTTTTACTAAAGATAAAATTCAAGTATATTACTTTTCCCACTACAAAGGGTTCAGGGAGCATTGTTCATAAAAAATTAGCACAGATATGTCTTCGTACGAACAGTGCATTAGAGCCTCGTAGACGACAGAAGTCAGGCACCGTGCGAGGTTAGGAACGTCAAGAACTTGATATTCGATTGTACGGAAATTAATGCAGGTTTTGAATTTTAACCGCAGTAAGTCATACACTTCTCATTTCTAAACAGTGGCCGTATTCATCAACGAACCCCGAGGGTTAAACTAACCCTGGAGGGTTAATTTAACCCTGGAAAGTGTTTAACCCGTATTCATGAAACACAGGGTAGGCTTAACCCTGAGGGTTAAATCTAACCTTGAGGGTTAATTTTACCCCGAAAGCGACTAACCCGTATTCATCAACGAATCGTGAGGGTTAAACTAACCCTGGAGGGTTAAAGTTACGTGATTCATCAGGGTTAATTTAACCCTAGCTCAGAGCAGGGTTAACTCTACCCTAACACTTCATAAAAACATTTACTCGCATTTATCAATTCTATGGAAAACGACCAACGAGTATTGTAGTGTTTATATTAGTTGTTGTGATAATATCTAGTTTCGACTTCGTTTTATGTTCAAATTCGAAGTACATGAAGCACTGACTTTGCGAGAAAGAGAATTCTAATGGTGACAAATGAATGCGACGAGGAAAAATGGTTGCGCATTCCACTCTGACAAGTGCCAAAACAGAAAACCCCTTTATGATATTACGCATTGACCCCTAAAAGAGTAGCACAAGCACGGTATAAAACGAACTGCGCAAAAGTAGAACTTACACGGCACAATTGCACAGAAAATAAACTCACGCTGTAAGATTGGATGCTGCACAGATATGCTAGAGATGTTTTATAAAAAGTAGTGTTAGAAGCTTATTCGTTGACTATACTACTATAACAGTGAAAGAATAGAAGTATAAAGTGAATTTGGCACGTACTAAGACATTCTGTGATGTGAGTTTGCACAGCGCACGCGTAATTGACGCCTTAACCCTCCAGGGTTAGTTTAACCCTCAGGGTTCGTTGATGAATACGGCCACAGGTTCGTTAATCGATATGGGTGGATCGCGTTATATGGTAAACCCTACCCTATGGTTGATGAATACGGCCAATGAACCCTGAGGGTTAAACTAACCCTGAGGGTAAGTTTAACCCTCAGGGTTCGTTGATGAATACGGCCACAGGTTGCAAAACACCATTCGATAGAGCAAAGCAAGCTTTACAAGATGGCAACCTTGCTTTCGCGACAGCTCTGACCCATTTTGAGTTTCAAGCCAAAAACTAAAAAGATTCAACTGTCCGGAAAATGGCATTTATATACGCCGTTGCCGTATTTTTTTCTCTGTTAGAAATCAAGAAAGCGGAAATTTTCGTGCATTTGCCAAAGTGGTTCTGTGCCGTTCCCACATAAATAGTTTCATACTACGTACCTGTAGAAGTACAAACGGAAATTTCCAGCCCTCTACAAGCTTTAGTTCTCGTGAAATATCGAACACAGTTTTTCCTAGTCCTGCGGTCCAAGCTAAAATTCAAACTTCACGAGAACTAAAGCTTGTAGAGGGCTGGAAATTTGCGTTTGTACTTCTACAGGTACGTAGTATACAACTACTTATGTGGGAACGGCACAGCACCACTTTGGCAAATGCACGAAAATCCGCTTTCTTGATTTCTAACAGAGAAAAAAAATACGGCAACAGCGTATATAGATGACCTACGTGGATTGTGTTTATGTGAGCAAGTGAGAATTTATGTGGGATTTTTATGAACTGAGTTACGATTTTTCTCCATTTTCCGGACAGTTGAATCTTTTTAGTTTTTGGCAACTCGTGCTGGATTTGCTCCATCCAATGGTGTCTTGCAACCTACTTAGAAATGAGAAATGTATGACTTAGTTGGGATTAAAACCTGCATTAATTTCGGACAACCTAATATCTCAAGGTTCTTGTCATTCCTAACCTCGCACAGCATGCTTACATTGAGATTCTCCGAGCGCTGGGAAGGCTCTATCGGAAGGCGTTGTTGTGTCTCGAATTTGAAGCATGGAATTTTTGTAAAAGAGGCATTTCTTAGTGCCGAGTCCAGAAGAATTTCATAGGGTTGAAGGAGAGTATCGCTTTTTGAGTAAAATAGGTTCAGCGAATAGCGGGTACTCGGACCATGAGGCAGCAGCTCTACATGGATATTTGAGTGCCAGAATTTGCAGCGTTGAGCAAAGAAAAAGCTTTTCTTGAGTTTTTTGTCCGGTTATGGCCCCAATGAAGCGTTTGGACAAATATTTTTGAGACGAGCACAATAATTAATTTTATGCATTACTAGCTAGCATATCCGGCTCCGCCCGGCCCTGTCAAAACATTATGTTAAAGGTTACTATCCCTACTCCTGACGAATCTTTTCCTGTGCCCATTAATTGGCATTCCTTAGGCTGCGTTCATACTGATCCCAAAGTTTGTGAACAGTTTGAGCACAGCGCTTCATCGAGCACTGTGCTGGAACTGTCTCCGGACTTTGGGATCAGTATGAACGCAACCTTATCGTCGTTTTGTTCTCGTAATCAGCGTGCCTCCCCGCTTACCTCCTTTGACTCCCTGCTCTGGAGATCAACTTTGCAGAAAAATCGA